AACTTGACCTTTCCAGGCTCTGAAGAAGGCGAAATTCGCCGAAACGTCAGCTTAATCGTGAACAAAGAATAATAACACCTTGTGTATAGAAAGCTTATATAAATGGGTGTCGTTGTCTGTACTTAGATACTTGGGTGGCCCGTCCTCACTGGTTATGCGGACCTCTGTATAATCTTCATTTTTTCGGAATTTCGCTGGTTTAGCCACTGTCGTTCGCTGGAGTCCCGAGGTCAGCCAGGCGAAAGTCTGCTCCACGTCGTCACCAGCACAGGAAGTCGGCGCCCTTGTGGATCGGAGGATGATTTGCTACCACCATGCGACTAGTCTGGTACCAAAACGGTGATGGATCCTGGTATTGGTTTGCTCTTAGATGGGCTTCCTGATGAAAAACCGGACTCCTTCTCACCTTGGAAGACCATGCCAGAGGTATGAATCTCCCGCCTGAATCACCTAGCCACAATGAAGCGGTAAACCGTTGGGATGATTGTTATTTATATCAGTTTGATTCTCAAAGAATTTCATTGTTTGAAACAACGCTCCGGCTAGTGTGGCTCCTAAAGCAGTAATTTTTTACTTTTAAAAAGTATTGTTTAGCCAAAAGAATACTGAAAGTTCGTTGACTTACTCGGTTGTCATCCCCTCTTCGAGAACATATGGTACTTGCCCATTTGTCCATAGCTTTTCTGGATACGTGATGAGGTTCAGTGCACTGTAGTACTGTAATTAGTAGTCTTTCCTTCTAGAACACAGAACTGGCAGTTGAAAAATCCGCACAGAGGTTATTACAGTAACTTAAAAAGTCAATTTTTTACGACACGAACTCCATCTAAAGTTACTAACTGGTAGCTAAATAGATTTTGAAGAAAGCCTAGGCTTCTCCTAGCGTTGGAAAATTGCTCTCCAACTTTTCGCGATAAAAACTGCTCCTGATTCACAACGGTTGGGAATCGAGTTTGAAACGCTTGCGATGAAGACTTTAGAAGGCTTTAGCATGATGAGCCTGAGATTCTAGGAAGTGTCACGGTAGGCAAGCATTCACTGACGTTCATGAAGAAGAACAAATCCTTAAGTTGTAATCGAAGCCACATCCAAATTCGAAGACCTTTGTGGATAACAGATCCGAGCGAAGAAGCGCTGGCACCCGTACAATATACGACATTGGCTCGTATAAATGGAAAAAGTCGATAGTATCGTTTTCCTATCGCGAAAACCAGAACTTCCTCTTTTTTGTAAGCACTGCCCATTATTGGTGACAGAAATTCAAAAACATTTACAAATTTACTACTGTCTTCCATGGCGGTAAAATACAGTCGAACTTGAAGGTCTTACACTTTATGCTATTTCCGGCTATAAATTTACTGGTGGTATGAAAGCGAGTTCCACCGTTTTGTCTTTCCTTCCAAATATGGGAATATCACCATCTAATCGGTTCATCTTTTTGTCAAAGCCAATATGTTCCTATTTTGTAGAATCGAGTTTGATGGGTATAAGATTTATTCAGCAGCTGAGTCACACTAGTTGGGAACCAGTCCGGCATTCTAATCCATAAGCTCAACTATCAGCGCCTGAAATAACCCTGTCCTCAGAGAAATCAACAAGCCAAGTGACTGACCCCCGTTTAAATCTATAAGAGTGGTCGCCCACTTGCGTTTACGATGTGGGAACACTTTACTACTGGTCTCTCGGGATTTCAAGATAAAATCTTCCTATGCACCCAATAACATACCACTTAAGCTGATTTTTTCTGCGCCAAAAGACTTTTTGATGACAATCAATCTGAGTATTTAAACGAGCGCAGTAATTTACCGCTAAATATTCTGAAAGCATTGAAAAAGTTTGGACAGTTTTTTTTCCTACCATGAACCTTCCTCATGCAAGCCGGATAAGCTTGGAATTATATGGCAGATCTCCAATTAGTGCACAGATCTGCATTCACGCATTCTTGAGAGATGAGTTAGCGTATATAGGGACTGTATTATGCTCGTGGATTTGACCAAAATCCTGATACCAAGTGACAGGAAAGCACGCGGGAAAAGCCTCGGAGTCACCTCCAGTAGAAGAGCCTCTCATCTATCAGGAGAACCCGAATCCCAGCTTTGGTTTGCATGTGGGAACCCGACAAGGTACCTTTGAGCATCGTCTAAAGCAGTAAAAATAAAAATTTTTCGTTCTGAAAGTATGATGGTTTACGTGGACCTGAAGCGGATAGGGTTCATTCAGCACTAGTGCTGCATGACAAGATGAATGAGGGCTTCTGTGTTGGTGCCAGCTCGAGTTTTTCAGTAATTAATAGAGCTAACACAGAAAATGGTCTTTGATATCATTTCTGTTAGCTATATGTTTTGTAACTTTACAGTTTCGTGTAATAACCATAACTTACTGGTCTACTGAAAACAGCCTCCTCGTCGATAGCAGGATCGTCACGAAATCGTCGAAGAGTTGATTCGCCCACATTCGGCATTCCGAAGATGTCGCCCTCGAGAAGCTTCAAGTTCTGTACTGAATCCAGCAGTTCTTCCGACGGTATATCCACTAAAAAGGGTTCCGATTAAAAGGTGAAATATGGAGATGTTGGCAAATTTCTTCAATTTCTCGTCAAATATCTGAAATACAAGTTTTGAACGCAAAATAGTAGTCGTGTGTGCTGGTGGTCTTCTCTCCTCTAGAGACTGTTAAGCTCACAGAGTTGAATACAACGGTATAAATAAAAATCGAACAGTATGAAACCAAGGAATATGATGTTTAATGCAGCACTGACTAACTAGCCTGGCTTTTCGGCTGCATAAATGAAATCCTCCGGTTGCAAGAACTTTTCCGAGAAATCTGAAAAGCGCTTCTTAATTGGAAAGGTTCGATGGAGAAAGATTATAAAATAGAATAAGATTGAAGCTATTGGTGAATTTTTCTAAACATGGCTAATCCTAAATGTGATTTTCCTGATACTATGGACCAACAAAATAGAAGCCTGAAGACTAAATGAATTTGACTCGAAACGGTCCTGCACATCAATGGTGCTTCAACGAGAATCCAATATCACTAAACTTGATCTTAGTGCTTTAGGATTTTGAATGCCGAAGATACCACGAAAAGGATTGAAGACGAGTTTTGTACGAATTACACGACATTATTGATCGATTGATGGTATCGATTGGTACTTCTGGGACAATTTTTGTAAAGTCTTTTGAACATGTACCGTCAAAGCGGTCCTTGACGAGCTTTGCGTTAACATTAGGAATTCGAACGACGCCAAGTGCTGTAATATACCGTACTGCAACGACAAGTAGAATGTAGACGTGCATAGATCTAAATAATAAGTTAAAAATGGGCGAATTCGTTCTCATACAAATTATCTTTCGAAAAAGTGCACAAATTCATGCAAGACACCAGAGATTGTTACGACTATTACGCACTGTTCCAATTTCCTATTTCAGAAAACTATGGACCAGGTGTTTTAAACCCTTGAGCTAATTTGGATAAGCAACCGTATATCCTTTCTTTCCACCTTTTCATAATTTCCAGTTAGGTTGCTTTTTTTACTTACGGATTAATTTTCGCCTAGTCCAAAGGCAGACATGCGAAGAACTCCCGCGTTCATCACTATAGGTAGCAGTCGAAACTTGTATGGAAGTTTTGCAGTTGTACACCTGAGCTCTTTCCTGTACAACGTTGATTTCTGCGTAGCTCTACTTTCAGCTGGACTTCCCAGTGAGCACCTCAAGCTTCTTGGCTTGCATAATCCAGAATGGAGATTGCACTTCTTCCCGAAACCCTAGAGTACCATGTCGCCATGGTGAGCGGTTGAGCCACAAAAGGAAATTGGGGAATATTGTTGAACAAAACTATCCAGTTCAAGTGAATGGTGTCAGTTCTCTATCTCATATTATTAATGTTGACGTATGCCTTCACAGAAGATGGCGATGAAGTAAAGGATGTAGTCGTAACATATCGCTCTCACACAGTTCTACTAATCGATCCCCATTGATCACGTTAATAGTAGCTGCCACGACCGACTTTCTATTAACCTCGGCATTGATCAAGTGATTTTCTTCGTATTTTTGTTGAGCAAACGCGAGGTGTTACTATTCTTTGTTCACGATTAAGCTGACGTTTCGGCGGATTTCGCCTTCTTCAGAGCCTGGAAAGGTCAAGTTGATAGCAACTCACTCGGCCAGACGCCTCCATAACCAAACAAGGAAACTCCGAACCAAGATTTCAATCACTTCAACACATTTGCACACTCACCGCTTTCTATGAGGTTTCCACTAAGTATGTCACGTAGAGACCAACCGCACAGAAATCACGTGGAAGTATAATGTGCCCCTCACACCAGAAAAGCAGTTTTATATACTGCCCAATATCACGCGTGATAATGAGGCATTCTTCCCTGCGGTTCATTTTCGGATTTCTGGAATTAATCCAGAGTGCCTCGAGAGTTTTTCGCGCCTGTGTTCTTGATTCGCGTGCGAGGATCGTGACACATACTTCGAAGTCGTCCCCGTTATGTCTCTGGGTCCTATGCGTGCCTAGCGGGGTATTTGGTCTATTTTTGCCGGCTAGGTGTTCTTTCATGCGGACACAGAGGGGTCTACCCGTTTCGCCAATGTATTCGTCACCACACGTCTTACAGGAGATCAGATAAACTATACCCGAGCTCATGAAATCACCGTCTCTACCACTGGGGCAAATTATGCAATTTTGAGTTGCACATAGACGGTCATATAGGCGGTTACGAACTAGCTGGCGCTTAAGATTACTCGGTGGTATTTCAACTACGCTCACCGAATTCTCTAAGCCCGCCCTTCTTAAACAGCGTTTTATAGCTGTACTTATATCATTTGAGATGAAGGGTAGGATAAACGGGACCCTTCTATCGCTAGAGTTGTCGTTTGGAGGCCAACCGAAACTCGCACGCGAATCAAGAACACAGGCGCGAAAAACTCTTGAGGCACTCTGGATTAATTCCAGAAATCCGAAAACGAACCACAGGGAAGAATGCCTCATTATCACGCGTGATATCGGGCAGTATATAAAACTGCTTTTCTGATGTGAGAGGCACATTATACTTCCACGTGATTTTTGTGCGGTTGGTCTCTACGTGACATACTTAGTGGAAACCTCATAGAAAGCGGTGAGTGTGCAAAGCTGTGTTCAAAGTGATTGAAATCTTGGTTTGGAGTTTCTTTGTTTGGTTATGGAGGCGTCTGGCCGAGTGAGTTGCTATCAACTTGACCTTTCCAGGCTCTGAAGAAGGCGAAATCCGCCGAAACGTCAGCTTAATCGTGAACAAAGAATAGTGACACCTCGCGTTTGCTCAACAAAAATACGAAGAAAATCACGTTAGTAGTATTTTTATATTTTCTTACCTACATCAGCTTCGTCGCCTTTTAGCTGTGCTCTACCCAATGAACTCGAGTGGGTGCAAGTGAACCTTTTTTTGCTGTTGTTGCGCAACAGTGCTGCTCAGTGGGCTCCATTTGTTCAAGGGATACGAACAGCATCAAACATTTTTGCATGAAGGCCTCTATTTCCGTTTTTAGCCTAAGGTATCTGACCGGACCCTATTTCCGCATATACATATATATATATATATATATATATATATATATATATAATTTGTTAAACTACTTTTCCTGTTGGATGGCACTGCTAGAGAAAATCAACCACGTTGTCGATTTCAGTTTGATGCCATCAGCAACAACGAGCTGATATGCTCATGCTAGGAGCAGTATTTCAGAGAAATTTCCTTTGTGTTGATTTTCTGCCATGCACTAATTTTAACATCATTATTTGGCTTCTTACTATTTCATGATGATAGACAATCTGCACCCATTCATAAGGAAAGGTATGAATGTATTAAAATCGAGGAAATTTTTAATAAAGCAGACTTGAGTAGTAAAGTAGAGAGGTGAAAAAAGACAATCAGGAATAGGAAAAACGAGTTGGATGAACGAATGAAGACAAGGAAAAACCTGATGGAAAATGATGAATAAGAGAGAGCGAACCTATCGCTATTATGACAATGACCGCGATGAGTACAGCCAACCGGACAGGATCCAAGGAGACGAGGGCGGGACAACTACTCGAGCAGCCTGACACACTGCCACTAGCCGACCGGCCTGGAACAAATCCGCTCAAGTCATTGTGTACAGAAAACAATCAGCACATGTGCAGTTCGTAAACAGGGAGCATCACCAGTGCACTAATATTAGCGCGTAACATTATCGCTCCACACTAGCTTATTGAACGATCAATGAAATCAGAAAATGCACAAAAAATCTCCAGATATGGTGCATTTCAAAAAAGTGCGTTAGGCTATGTTTTATAGCTTTCTAAGCACATGCACAGCATACTGAAAACTGATGTGTAGGAAAATAGTAGGTGTCTTCTAAGGTTTTGAGCCAATAGTGGGTGCAGGTAAGGCCATTCTGATGAAGAAGCTTTCAAAATATGTAGACTTGGCAAAATTCACACCTTTATTTACATCCACTATATTTTTTCACGAAGTTTTTTATTCCTCGTTTTCTTCTGAATGAGAACTATGAAGCATTAAGACTTTATAAAAATTTTAAAAAATAAGCCTTCTTCTTTCAACGAAAAGGTAGTGGAAAAGCTAGCTGTGTAAAATTAATATAAAGTTTCAAAGCTGTCCATTTATATCTAGCCGTTACACAACAGTGGTCCTTGTAGCTCTTAGGGCTGTTAAAACTGATCCAGGTGATAGAATCCCCAACTTTTAGTCACTTTGGTGATACAGGAAACATAATACGTTAGCTTACAAACAATATTCCTGTTATTATTGTAAAATTTTTCTTTACTCAAAAGAACTATCTACAATATCACTGAAAATGCGTAAAATATTTGAAGCACATTTGCATAAACACGAAATTCTTCGGATTTACGTGCAAGTCCAGCTGCCACTTGAGCGGTCTCGCTTATTGTTGAGGATTGTTGAGCGCTTATCAAGTTGATTCTCCCTGGAGTCTTAAAATAGTACTGTTACAGCACTATTTCTAGATCCATAACAGGCAGAGTCAGCCCTTGTGGATTGGAAGGAATATCTTGTCGCCAACTCCAGCGCTGGTCCGCCGACATCAGAGGAATGGGCATCTCTCTGTTTTTCGCACCTTTTACTATATGGTAAATAGTACAAACTGATAATTTAACAACGCTAGGCTACACAGTATTGGAGAAGTTGGGCAAAGCTTCTGACTCAATCTACTCCTCAAAGGAAAGATCTGTTGAAACTAGATTGAAACGATGTATCTTAGGGAAATTGCCCTTTCTTCTAAAGTGCTCACAAAAAACTTCAGTGGCAACAAGTATTTCTATGATATAACGAGTGGGCATGTAAACAAGTTATATACACCAGCATGGGCTTATATATACATACATACAAATATCCACATAAATACATGCTCATGTGCGCTTTCGTACACCTCGATACCTATATTTTCACAAGTGCCACGAAAATTCCAAAAAAGGCGCTGGTCATCGGGTTCGGGCATTGAACGTTGTGGGTGAGCTGAGAGTGCGGCTTCATTTTCGGTTGTTTGACTTCGCACTTCAGTCGATGCTTCGGAGAACAATGCGTGGACAAAGTCAACAAACATCGCCTCCAGTTCAGCAATGCACCATCGTCGGACATCGGGACGGCGTTGCTACCATCGGGATGTCAGTTAGACTGACAGCCGTTCAGTTATCACGTATCATAGTGAAACTGTGGCCATTCATCCATATATTCTAACAAAAACGACAAAGCTCATCCATATGTGGCAATGAGAATAACGTAATTGTAAGAGCCGTTCCACTCACCTACTTTCGTCCACTCTATGGAAAGAAAACTGAGGCACTTTGGCGACATCAGTGAACTTTTGTGAATACCAGCGCTGACTAATGAGTAGAGGTTGATATGAAAGCCTTGATTCATGAGGTGATGCTTTTGCTTCATTGTGTGGATCTAAAAGCAAATAATAGGAACTTTGAGCTAAACTAGCATGAGTTCCATGTCATCTACCTCACATCTGACTGATGTGATTCAATACGTTGTTTTTTAACTATTATTTTCGTTACCCACCTAGAGTACTAAGGTGAGCATAGAGTTTCAGTCAGCAATGCCTTGAAGTGTACCCTCGTCGTTCTGGGAGTGGAGTGGAAAGGAAGGGGAGGAGGGAATGGAGAATGGCAAATTGTTACCTGAGTTGTCTAGACGAATAACAAAAGCGGCTCATTACATCGAAGATCTTCGTAGACCCTCCCTTGTGTAGGGCAAACATGCGTTCAATCAACCAACTCTGCTTAAGCACTGAGAAAGGTGCTTTGTGCAGTGGGAACATCGTGAAGAGTCTGAGAAGGAATGTCGATTTATTATTAAGATAATCGTCATGGCAAAAATTTCTATGTGCTCCAAGAAAAAAAAATTCTGCAGCACTAATACCAGACGAGTTAGATGAAAAATGTTCCGATGTAAGCGCGATTCTTTGTAAAGATGGCCAATACAGGTCTAATATCAAATTCAGGTAAAAACAAAACGTCCATTCCTCTACCTAGTCACTGACCGCGACCGCCTCAAGATAGCTCTGCATGTGACCGTGTTAGGACTTACCCAAATTGACGCCACAGGCCCAAGTCTTTTCAACCGCAGGAAAGAATTGCTCTCACCCTGAATGTTAGTGGAACGGCAGTGATTTTCAAAATTGGTTCATTTTTAGGTAGGTAAACGTCTGAATAAAAATATCAAACTCCTAATCTTAATAGATGGTGTTTGGATAAAGAATGCCCTTGTATTATATCATGATTTCTTATTCACTTACCTAAGGTGTTCAACTCCTAGCACGATGAAGCAGACAGCATTGGAGACAGTATACCAGAACAATCCGGAAAAAAGTAAAAAACATTTTACCACGAGAAGGGGATAGTAATCAAAAGATAATGAGGAATAAAGTTAAACTTAAATGTAGAAGAGCAGCAGTCATGGACGAAGCTACAGAGGGAGAAAAGAGCATTCGCAAAGCTGAAGCTTCGCCAATTGCAAAACCAAGGTGGTTACACTCCGACGCCCAGACGGAATAGTTACAGCTTCCAGAAAGGCAGTGGAGAAAATCACTCACGATTACCGCTCAGTTTCTTCAATAGCACATCCTGATCAGCTAATGTGAAATAAAAGAGGGTGGATATGTCCTACTTCCAGTTATCCGTTCCGAAATCAGACATGCTATTTCATCGGTAAAGAATCGAATAACATAAGATCCAGACAGAATCTGATCTGAAAAACTGAAGAACGTTCTGCCAGACTTCATGAAGACACCGGCACTGCTCGTCACACGTTACCTGTCTGAATGCAAGATTCCTACCAATTGGAAGGCCATTAAGATTGTGGTATTGTTCAAGAATGGTGACCTGCACGATATCGGCAACTATCGCCCAATCTACTTACTGTCTGTCGTCTCCAAACTTTTCATTCGGGTCATCCTAAACAGGATCGACAGAACACTGGACGAAGGACATTCATGTGAGCAAAAAGGGTTTTGAAAAAGATTTAGTACGATAGACCACATCCGCACGATAACAAGACTCGTTGAAGTATCGCAAGAGTACAAAAGATTGCTCTGTATCACTTTCATAGATTTAAAGGACGCTTTTCACTCAACGTTGCTGAGATATTTGCAAAACTCTGGACCGCAGGTGTCTATGGTGGGGTCACCACCACACCATGCGGGTCCTTTGTTTCGCATGTCTCTCAGCTATTTCTATTGATCTTTGCCACAGCAATCACCCGTCAGCAGGATTGATCTGGGGCGCCCAAATCGGCATAGAACCCAGTTAAGCCGCGGCTGTAGTTGAAATCACAATGTTATACCTTTTTATTTTCTGCCTATTATAATTTCGCGGCAGGGTACTAAGCGAAATACAACCACAACGTTGCTGAGATATTTGCAAAACTCTGGACCGCAGGTATCTATGATGGGGAACGAAAGCGCTATTGTCCTTTCCGGGGAGTAACGCGTTCACCACCACACCATGCGGGTCCTTCGTTTCGCCTGTCTCTCAGCTTTTGACTCAGTTAAAATGGAAGCAATCACAGAAGCCCTAGACAGTCAGAGTTTTTCACAAAAACCTTAGAAAAAAGGTATGAGGCCCAACGAATCTTTAGAGCGAGTAGAACCCAATGGGCTACTCTTGCATGTGATGGGAAAAAATAAGCGACTGGTGCTCCTTCCAATCACTCGACGATCAACAGTACGACAGGTGAAACAATACTCTCGTTTCCACACCAGTGTATCAAGACAGCTCTGCTATCTCTATAGAAAAGTTTGGTGCCAATATGCCGACCTCGGGAGAGTGAAAGGCTTGGTGGGGACGGAGGGCGAGATGAATGCAATGACCACGTGTGTACTGCGAGGCACCTCTAACCACTTCATTGCATGCGCCATTGAAAGTAGGGCACCGATGTGTAAATCACTTTTTAAACCATTCTAGGTAAGACCGATATACATTTTGAAACTTTGAAGAAAGGAGAAGCTTGGTTATCTCGTTGAGCAGGATTGAGCCAACGACCATTTTCAAATAAGCAGCACCCCTAACTAATGGGCTGCAAAACTGTAACGTAATACGATGTTCTCGCTCAAGTTCTCAAATTAATTGTGATTAACGTGTATTGCGGATGCCAGGAGCATAGATAATAACAGCTTAATTGCTGCTTATTCACCATTCCAGATGACGTCAACCAGAATTATTGTACATTCTCCAGTATGATTCACAGATGGCACAGACCTAGCCAAAAATAATTTAGCCTTTAAACTTCAACAGCACTTAGTATGTCAGTGAGAGCGAGAGTCAAGAGACTCTCAGGTTCGAGCGATTACATAGGCAAAATCGATCACATCTACCGCTAACAGGACAACGAAACTAACGGATAGAGTTTCCAAGATCGACTTTCTATTAACCTCAGCACTGGATTATAAATCCGTTGTTTTTTTTTTTTACAGCAATCGCGAGGTTGTTATTCAGCACACGTTTAATTCCTCACAAATATAACACACACAACACAACGGTTGCTGACGTCTTGGCAGTATCGCCTTCTTCAGAGCCTGGAAGGGCACACTAATATGTAATTTGCTAGGTCAAACGATTCAAAAACGCAAACAGAAAGATGAAAACAAATGCAAGAAATCAGAGATTTAATAAAATCAAAGACCATTAGGCTATCAGTTAGTGGTAAGGGGAGAGAGTTCGTAGTTCTTCCCTGCTAGCTAGATGTTAAGATAACTGAAGAACATCTTAGTGATGTTACCCTTTATCGCCCATCATCTGAGAGGGAATACAAAAGTCAATACCGAAAACTAAACAGTCAGTGGGTCGAAGCGGCAAAGGCGGCAGGCTTAAAATCATCGGTTATTTCGCTCCTTAAAATCAAGAAATCAATATGTCCCGTCTCATACCTACTTCTTGAAACACATAAGTTGGTATCAGCTGATGATTTTGCATTAACTAGTCCATCATCACTCAAGGTTAGACCGATCATCAGCTGTGTAAACGGGCCAACGGATAGGATAACCTGGTTTCTAAGCGTAATGTTAATCCAGTTGCTTAAACATATTCCAGCTCACCTCACGAACACCCAAATGTTCCTAGAACGTCTACGTAACGCTTTTCTTAATAACGCGTACGTGATGGAGTCTTTCGACGTTATCGCGTTGTACACCTACGTATCCAATGACTCCGTAATGCAAGCCATCTTCGAACTTCTTGTTGAACATGAAGGCAGAATAAATATGCATGCCTTGTCCATCCAGCACCTTATGTCTTTCCTAAAAGGGTGCCTAGACTGCCCGATTTTCGGATAGTCTGGGAAATATTTCGCTCAATTGAGTGGGTTGGCAATGGGACAGCGATTGGCACCAAGCCCTGCCATTGCGTTTATGTCTAAAGTAGGAGCTCCGTTCTCAGTCTTCGGCCACTACTCTACTGCCGGTACACAGATAATTGTTTTGTCGTCTTCTCTACGCAGGACGAGATGGAGAAATGCTTCCAATTATTGAACGAGAAGTCTGGGTACATTAAGTTCATCCAGGAGAAACCAAGAAAAAACTGCCATCCGTTTTTAAATGTTCAAATAAACCTATCGAGCAGCGGCTACATGACAAAGTGGTACCGAAAGCCAAGTAACAAGAACATTCTTGTTCATTTCCTTTCTTCCCACCCTTCACACACAAAGAAGGCGCTTTTGAGAACATGTTTCGAACAGCCACCTCTGTGTGCACAAGTAGAGAACTAAAAGAAGAATCGCGGAACTTGGCTCGGGAAATAGTCATCTCCAACGGTTACGATGTAGTAACCCCACGAGATAATTTTAGAAGGAGAGCAACGCCCCAAAACGAAGGATCTGCTCAAAACAAAGGCCCCTTTATCTTGCCCTTCATTAGCGATGAATTAAGTTTAGCGATAAAGCGATGCTTAAGAAGGGCAGATCTAGAGGAATTGGTAGCGACCATTGAAATACCTTCGAATACTCTTCGTCGTCGCCAATTAGTTCGTAACCGCCTATACCACCGTCTATGTGAAACACAGAATTGCGTAATTTGTCCTTATGGCAGAGATGGTGACTGCACGAGTTTAGGTACGATATACCTGATTTCTTTCAAGGAACTATGGTGACGATCTGTACCTACAATACACGTACACTTGCGTGCGAGTCCTCGATAGAAGAATTGCTCATGCAAGCAAGAAGGATAAAGTACGACGTCATCGGCCTGGCCGAGACGACACGATACCACGCATTCAACGCCGTCTATGACACCGGAGAAGAACTGTTCCTCGGAACATGCGACAGTAGAGTCGGCGGTGTCGGCGTTCTCGTCAACACGAGTTTGTCCATGAGTATCGATTCATTCCAGCAGCTCGCAACCCGAATCGGACTTTTACGATTGAAAAGATGTGGGTCAGTAACGGCTTTGACAATCTTCGTCGCTTACACGCCGCCATCAAACTATGACGAAGAAGAAGTTCAAGCGTTCTATATGGACTTGGAGGAGTTCTACAGAGAAGACCATACATTCTTCAAGGCCATCATTGGGGATTTTAACGCCAAGATTGGAACAAGAAGAACGTCAGAAGAACGTCACATTGGGACCAACGAATTGGAATAGAGCGAAGAGGGTGAGCGGCTATAAGTTTATCATGGCGACCAAGACCATCCAAGACAAACTCACAATTCTAGAAGCCCCACCCCCAACGCTGGACGTGGGGGTCCTCCAGTGGAGACTACCATAACAAAATAGACCACATTATAGTAAATAGGTTTTGCCTAACCGATGTCGCTGTTGTCCCAAACTTCCACATAGGATCAGACCATCGCCTTCTTCGTACAAGATTCCATTTCTCGTGGAAAGGAGAAAAAGCCGATAAACTTAAAAACCGACATACCAGAACCAACATAAACCGGGACCTATTCAATTCATTAGTCGGCTGTTGGGAAGATGCCGTTTTTGATAACATCGGCGAAGAATACGATCGGCTCATTCAACATCTTCACGTTAACGCTACGAAAGCTGAGAGTTCGAAAGTCACCAAGATACGTCTGTCTCCAGAAACACTCTAGCTGATACGCCATCATGGAATCGCATGAGATACAAGCAGCCGCGAACTAACGTCCGAACATGCAAAACAATGGAGACAGGCGATAAAAGAAGATCTTAAAGAGAAAAGAGAAGCAGTAATGATCGAAGCTTCAGAGACTGGGAAAAGCATTCGCAAAAATGAAATAAAGGAGGATGGATATGTTGTACCACCGGTTCTCTCTCCCGAAATCCGATATGCAATTTCGTCGGTGAGAAATCGAACAGCACCAGGTCCGGACAGGATAAGGCCAGAACACCTGAAGAACCTTCCGCCAGTCTTCGTAAACACACTGGCTCGACTCACACGTTACCTGTTTGAATGCAAGGTTCCTACTCAGTGGAAGACAAGCAAGACCGTGTTGTTATCCAAGAAAGGTGATCTACATAATATCGGGAATTATCGCCAAATCTGTTTGCTGTCTGTTGTCTACAAACTTTTCACTCGAGTTATCCTAAACAGGATTGACAGAACACTAAACGAAGAATAGCCATGTGAGCAAGCAGGGTTTCGAATTAAGTACGATGGACCATACCCACACGGTAACAAGGCTCATTGAAGTATCGCGAGAGTACAAAAGACCGCTCTGTCTCACTTTCATCGATTTACAGAAGGCCTTCGATTCAGTTCAGATAGAAGCACTCTTGGAAGCTCTTGATAGTCGAGGAGTCCCTACTCAGTACATAAAGATTCCTCGTGAGCTGTACAAAAATTTCACAGCCAAGGTATAACCATTCTACAACGACATCAACATTGACGTCAAAAGAGGAGTTAGGCAAGGCGATGCTATCTCGCCAAAATTATTCACCGCCACCCTCCATGACCATCATGCGAGCATTGGAATGGGATAATATGGGAGTGAAAATCGACGGTCGGCAGTTGCATCATCTTCGCTTTGCCGACGACATCGTCCTTCTAACACCAAACATTAGCCAAGCAGAACGTATGCTTGACGACTTTGATAAAGCTTGTGGAAAGATTGGTCTTGGACTAAATCTCACAAAAACGATGTTCATGAAGAACGGATTGGTTTCGCATGCCCCATTCACGCTCAACAGAGCGAATTTCTCCGAACGCTCCAGTTATATCCATCTAGGTCGGAAATCAATATCATGAACGCCCCAGCTCCGTAGCTGAGCAGAAGGAAACGAGCGGCTTGGTGAGCTTTCAAGAGCATCGAGGATGTCGTGAAGAGAACAAGGAACAGCCGCCGACTTCGTGCCCACCTTTTCGACTCAACGGTACTTCCTGCCCTAACGTGTGCGTCAGAAACGTGGTGGCTGCGTAAGCAGGATGAAAGATCACTCAGCGTTATCGAACACGCAGTCGAAAGGACGATGCTAGGAGTAACGCGTGTCACCCAACAAGGGGATGGGATCCGAAGCTCCGATCTGCGTCAACGATCAAAAATCAAAAATGCCGTTCTGTACGCCAGACAGTCGAAAATAAGGTGGGCCGAACAAGCAATGCGTATGAATGACAACCGATGGACAAGAGCCGTTAGTGACTGGATTCTTCGGGATGTCAAACGTACTGCAGGAAGACCAACGACCCAATGGTCAGAAACTCGAGTCGTTCCGAACTTCATCAAACGAAGACGACTACACGACGTATGCAGACTACCGGAGGACAGCCACCGAGCATTGGACATCGAATTGCGAATACTACGCACTTGTCTACGAAACCGACAAAACCAGATGTTCGCCAAGTGGAAGAAGTGCGAGACGAAGGAAAACTTTCGTGCTCAGTATTTGGAGGACCGCCTCTGGAGGAGAATAGTGGGCAGATCAGTGTTGATTTCCAACTCTATTAGGTCTAATGCTAAAGTAACTTTGCTGAAAAAATTCGATGACCTTTTGAGTAAATCGCATAACACGGCTTCAAGAGCATACAGAAACACCGCCAACGAAGATCAAACGATTCACAGTAAGATAAATAATGTGCAAGAAAATTCAAGGTTAACCGTGTTAGGAGGCATAACTCTCCCTGACGGTGCGCGCTCGTTATTAGAATTGGGGCCGAGTTTCTCACCATCTGAACCCATTTCAAAGATAACCTTGCGTAGGGTCGCATGAAGCTTACATGAACTTCAAGATAGGCTCCGCAAAAAGCTAGAGATGAAGCGTTAAATAGGTGCGAACAACACCAAGTGGGGGCCATACCAATAGCACCATTTCTCCCGAGGTTCTTTAGACAACAAGAGCCCAATAATAAAGTCGATGTTAATTTTCGGATGTTTGCGAATGAAGCTCTCAAAGTCCTTAATCACTATCGCGCGAAAAGATAGAGCTCAAACCTCACTCTAGTGCAAAAACGTGGTATGCGAGAGGTACGAAAGCTGATAAGGTTGAAAACCATAAGACTATCCGTTAGTGATAAGGGTAGAGAGTTTGTCGTAATACCTCATCAGTTAGATGTGGAGATAACGAAAAAGCATCTTGAAGATGCTTCGCTTTATCGCCCATCACCTGAGAAGGAATTTAAGAGTAAATACCGAAAATTGAACCACGAATGGGCCAAAATGGCAAAGGCTGCTGGTTTAAAACCATCAGTTATCTCTCAACTAAAAGTTGACCTACCAACATGCCCCGTCTTGTACTTACTTATAAAAACTCATAAGTTAGTATCCAGCGAAATCTTGCGTCTACCGATCCATCACTATTTAAGGTTAGACCTATCATTAGTTGTGTAGACGGGCCAACGGACAGGATAACATGGTTTTTAACCCTAATATTTAACCAGTTGTTGAAACACATTCCAGCCTATTTTACGAATACCCAAATGTTTCTGGATCGTCTACGTACTGCGCAGCCCAACAGCGCGTGCGTGATAGAGTCTTTCGACGTTACCGCCCTTTATACAAACGTGTCGAATGACTCCGCAATGCAAGCCATATTCGAACTCCTTACACAACACGAAGGAGAAATAAACATGTATGGCTTCAGGATAGAGCACCTGATGGCACTCTTAAAAGAATGCTTGAGCTGCTCAATCTTCAGATGGTCTGGAAAGTACTACGCTCAAATAAGAGGGTTGGCAATGGGACAACGACTGGCTCCAAGCCTTGCCATTGCATTTATGTCTAAGGTGGAAGCACCGGTGACTGATCTCGGGCCGCTACTCTACTGTAGGTATGTAGACGACTGCTTTGTCCTTTGCTCAACACAAGAGGAAATGGACAAATGCTTCGAATTGTTAAACGCACAGTCAGAGTATATCAAGTTCACCCGAGAAAAGCCGAAAGAAAAATGGCTTTCATTTTTGAACGTACAAATTCACCTATCAGAAAATGGCTACATTACAAAGTGGTACCGAAAGCCAAGTAGTAAAAATATCTTGGTTCATTACCTCTCCTCTCACCCCTCTCACACGAAAAGGGCGCTTATAAGAAACATGTTTCGAACAGCAACCAACGTGTGCACGGGAAGAGAGCAGAGAGAGGAGTCCCGGAACTTGGCACGGCAAATAGCCGTTTCTAATGGCTACGAAACTGTAGCTCAGGATAGGTGTAGAGGAAATCGTAGGCCTCCAAACGACAACTCTAGCGATAGAAGGGTCCCGTTTATCCTACCCTTCATCTCAAATGATATAAGTACAGCTATAAAACGCTGCTTAAGAAGGGCGGGCTTGGAGAATTCGGTGAGCGTAGTTGAAATACCACCGAGTAATCTTAAGCGCCAGCTAGTTCGTAACCGCCTATATGACCGTCTATGTGCAACTCAAAATTGCACAATTTGCCCCAGTGGTAGAGACGGTGATTGCATGAGCTCGGGTATAGTTTATCTGATCTCCTGTAAGACGTGTGGTGACGAATACATTGGCGAAACGGGTAGACCCCTCTGTGTCCGCATGAAAGAACACCTAGCCGGCAAAAATAGACCAAATACCCCGCTAGGCACGCATAGGACCCAGAGACATAACGGGGACGACTTCGAAGTATGTGTCACGATCTTCGCACGCGAATCAAGAACACAGGCGCGAAAAACTCTCGAGGCATTCTGGATTAATTCCAGGAATCCGAAAATGAACCGCAGGGAAGAATGCCTCATTATCACGCGTGATATAGGGCAGTATATAAAACTGCTATTCTGATGGGAGGGGCACATTATGCTTCCATGTGATTTCTGTGCGGTTGGTCTCTACGTGATATACTTAGTGGAAACCTCATAGAAAGCGGTGAGTGTCCAAAGCTGTGTTCAATGTGATTGAAATCTTGGTTTAGAGTTTCTTTGTTTGGTTATGAAGGTGTTTGGCCGTGTAGACTGCCATCAACTTGACCTTTCCAGGCTCTGAGGAAGGCGAAATCCGTAGAAACGTCAGCTTATTCTTGAATAAAGAATAATAGCACCTCGCGTTTGCTCAACAAAAATACGAGAAATTACCAATGGTCAGAGTTCTTCACAAAGAGCCTGAAGAAACATATGATGCTTAACGTGTCCCTAGAGCGAGCAGAGCCCATTGGGTTACTCTTGCACGCGACAGGGAAAAATGGAATATTTACTGGCACCCGCTCGAGTCACTCCACGATCAA